AAAATAGTCAAACTTGGTCAACTCTTCCAACTTAAAGCTTCAACGATGAAATTCATTCTTCCAAATCGATTCCGAATAACCTGAAAACCAAAAACGACGATTCACATAAGTCATAATACATCATACATAGATACTCATGCCCGTAAACTACCGAGCGAAGTGCAAATGCTTAAAACAACCGGTCGGATCGTTACATCCTCCCCCACATAAACATACGTTCATCCTCGAACGTGCCTAGAGTTGTTCCAAAGTCTCCAAACCGCCGTGTAACCTTACCTTGCACATACCCGGGGGTGATCCCACGCCACCCTATTCCATATAGGCCCGACAACACAACATACTGAAGATCATTACTTCAACCTTAGCCTATAAATCACAGAATCCAATTTCCAACATCCGAAATTTCTTATAAGACCCGAATCTCACACGTACACACTGTATAAGTCTGAACAGGCTGTATCAAGCCATAACCATAACCCAAGATGCAATCACATGATATGCGACATAACTCAAATACTCATGGCAATAATTCTTACCACAATAACTGCTCGAAGCAAACCCGGTACCGGTAATAAACCTTGTATCAAATAAAACCTTGTTCAAAACCTTAGTACACTGCCGATGATGAAAGAAACACGAAGAAACTCATAACCACTTATCAAACCAACAAATCATGGAACTCTCCCTCCTTCGACAAGAACTATAACCAATTTCTAAGCCAACTTCCGATATTGTCCTCCATACATGCTGTAATCAAATCTGAGAGTATCCTTTTCAGGTCCAATGACCTCATCTCATCCTACATAACCACTCTAATGACATGCCACATCAATACAAACTACAACCACAACCCGTGCAATCCGTGCACCAATAAGCAACAATCCAAATGTACTCAATCATGGAAAATGACTCAAACGAGAGAACCATCCCGCAAGTTCAACAAGTACCACCACAATCGAATGCTACGAACCCATCATACCTAGTAGAACCAAGACACACGAATCTAACACAAAGGATCACATAACCCCGCTGCAATGCGTGACCCCATCCAAACACTGGTCCATATGAAATACCTCAGCCACCATGCTCAAAATCAATAACCATGCGCAATTCGACATCAAGTACCCAAGGTGCATGACCATAATCACAGAGAGAAAAATAACACAATACCACAATCCGGAAAGAACATAACCAATGCGCAATCGATCATTCAACACCCTAATATCATCTCGCTCAAACTCCGCCATAAGGCCCGAACCGCACCATGTGTGCATATAACCAACGAATCACAACCCCTCATAGCATAGAGGAGTAGCACATAGATCATATCAAAATATGAATAAGCTCAACTCCACTGAATGGCACATCGTTCAACAATAGTAGTACAGAGTCAACCAATCTGACCCGGTGTAGAATACACATCCTCATTGGGTCTACCAATTGGGCCCCAAATCAACTCTGGTCATCCAAAAATAGATAAATAACCCTCCGAAGGTCCACCATGACCTAACCATGACACATACCGTCATCTGGCTAGCTTTAGCCATATCCTCTCAGCCCACAACCACGAAACAATCTGCTTCTGAGAATTCCCGGTTTCCAAATACATAAAACACACGAATCACCATATCTGATCCCAACTCCACCGCCCGAATGTCTAACACATCTCTCATATACGATCATCCCACGAGGAATACTTCTAAAATTCTTCCGTGCCACATAACAAAATCTTAATATCAGTAGCCGATCAATCAGGCGAGTACCGCAATACTAATGAGGCATCCTTACGTAAACACTTAATGCACCTCCTAAAATGTACACTCTCCTCAGGCAATACCAAGTGGTAATATCATTCATCTAGTCATCTGAAATCGCCCATGTTGTCTAAGAATTCATGCCCTTCAAACTAAACCGTGACCTTGCACACGCAAATCTTATTTCCACACAACATACCGCATATATAATGAATATGAAAAGTACGAGAATCTCATAATCAACTCCGAGTCACAAGAAAACTACATACTCAATTAGCCAGGAACCTTCTATTTGATCTCATCCAGGAGAAAATCACAACACGCAACATGCTCCTCACCCCAGCAGGAAATATGCACCTCGAACCGTGGTAAAAACCATTGAGAACACTTGGAAATCCAATTGCACATAACCAAACTATCAGAACTGAATCTCTCTAACTCCACCAAGCCACGTGGGTCGCCAAAGCCCGAGAGCATTGCCACGAAACACCCGTAGAGACACCCGTAGAGACTCACCACACTATAAGTACCTAAAGAACCGATCATACCCATTACCGTGCTGATCCAACCTACTACCAAACTGTCCTATTTCTCCGAGTTCCTTCCGAATTACCCTCAAGGTGACACTTCTCCTTGCCAGAACACCACGATCCTTAACCAAAACTCACCCCACGAGATCCTAGCATAAAACCACACCGCCTTAAGGCCTATAAGCCACTGTATTCCCTCTTAAGCACCTCAAGAGTACCACCATCGAGACACCCACTCTGAAAAGACCTTCTGTGAATCTAAATTCGTTTCCTTCACCTTTTTGATACCGAAATGTAAGATCCATAATGATATAAAAATACCGCGAGTCTCGACACCATCCAATGTAAATCTCATATCCTAGCCATATACAAATCCTGAAAATTCTCAGTTGCTACATGAAAATCTTGAATCAATTAGAACTTTCTCGAGAGTCAACCACCCTGCTCAAATCTCAATTGTGCCGTCCCAACGGGCCAAACAACCTATGCCCCATTAGCACAATAACACCCAAAGAAGTAACCCACACCTCTAAACAACCGAGTGAACCCCTACTCCATGCACACTACATCCGTCACGAATAGCAAATTCAAATCATTCCACGATTTCCATATACCCATAAAGTGCAATACATCATGCATCCCGAAATTCCTTACTCAAGTCATCCTCAAAACCGACCTCTGCAAGTCATATCTGATTCACAAGTATGCCTCAAACCGAAACTAGTACAACATATAACCAAGCAATCCAACCGTCGGTAGCAGACTCCCCTACTTGGCTCAAAGCCATAGAACAAAACACTCGATAACTCATAATACCCATACTCTATTACTGCCATAATCCCGCACCGAAGTTCAACTAAATTCTTCATAACCTCACATAACACAAATCATATAGTACCTCAAATCATCTACTAAGCTCGCAGACATCCACATGACGATTAGGTCAAACTTCTCAACCAAATTCAAATTCAAACCTCAACACATATACCCCACTGGTAGAAAAGAAACTCTCCACACAACATCATAAGGATCACACCTCCGTATATTACCCCGCATGAGATAACCCACCTTCTTAGCCTCAAACTGACATCTCTTTATCCCCTTACACAGCCACAGCTACTACAAAATCGCTTAATCTTCCTAAGACTGAACTCATCACCAAGACATGAAATTCTACGTTGTTCCCCAATTAAACAACCTGAAAGATCCGCCAACACACTCATAACTCGAGACTATACGTCATATCAAGACATAAATCAAGCACCCAATAGTTCTTTTTACCTCTCAAGCAAACTATTCTCGTCACATTCAATCCATCTGAATACATCCCGTAGTCATATCATATTTCCTCATATAGCCATTCGACCACTCACCGAGCCATAAATTCAACTCATAGGGACACTACCGGACATATAAGTCCAAGAGCACATACTCACACAACTGAAATCCTCGTGCTCAAGTTACAGTCTAAACCAGGCCTCAAGTCTTCCAGACTGGCCCATCATCAACACACAAAAATCACATCTCGCACCTCATCCATGAAATCACAAGCCATCGATGCATAACTGATACCGAGCGCTCATGTGCGCATACGAATGCATGGAAGGAATTCAAAGAGTTATGTTTCAAGCTAAATCAATTCCGCACGATAAGGAACGAAAGATGGGAAATTATCCTAAATTCCTTGTAGCCTCTCGAAGATAGGTATGGACGTCATCATACCAATCCGCAAGACTCTACTAGACACTTGCTCATGACTTGTAGAACCTATGAACCTAGAGCTGTGATACCACCTTGTCACGACCAAAAATCCACCTAGTCGTGATGGCACCTAACCCAACCCGTCAGGTAAGCCAATAGGCAACTAACCAATTTAAATGAGATTTATTAAGAAAAGAAATTCAAATACAACTGATTTTATACAAGAATTTCTCACGGACTGGTAGTAGAAATTATGATCTTCTAAGATTAGAATTTACAAAGCTGGTATGAAATAAATACATCATCTATCCGAAATGTACATAAACAGATTTTTATAAATCTAAGGATGCCATGAACAAGAAGCAGCTACAACCGGAACGCAAGTACGTCTTCAAATCCAGCTGCCGTCGATCACAGCAGCATCAACATCCGACATCTGCACGTAAGGTGCAGAAGTGTAGTATGAGTACAACCGACCCCATGTAATCAATAAGTAACAAACCTAACCTTAGGTTAAAAGTAGTGACGAGCTGGGACAAGGGTCAGAGTCCAACTCAAATAACCAGCAACAGTTCATAACAATATAGTAAAGATGGTGCAAGAAATAACTCAATAAAAAAAATGCTCAGCTCGTATAAAATTTTGAAAAATAAATGCTTCTCTTCAAGTATACAGTAAAACTCAAATCCTTTGTTGAAATCACCAAAATATAAGTTGCTTCGTAAAACTATGATTTTACCCAAAACTTTCAACAATACTTAAGATGTTTCATTTTTCAAATAACATGAGGAAAGTACATCTCAATGTCTACATGTCACTATGCAGGTGAAATCATGAATGACGCAATGCTGTACAGCATGAGGAAAAATGCATCTCTATGCCTGTATGTTAAGTGTGCATGTCAAATGCAATGTATCTCAGAGATGAACTCGTGTACTCACACTCTCAGAGTACTCAATCTCACTGTCTCACACTTTTCACTCATCATGCTCAATCACTCAGTACTGTATATGGCCAATTCAGCCCGGGGAAGTTCCATCCCGGAATATATACATCAACTGACCATCAGTCACTCAGTACTGGGTAGAGCCAATCCAACCCGCGGGAAAGATCCATCCCCAGGTATAAAAGATTCGGACAAGATCCATGTTTTGTGTGTGTTGGATCGCATTGTACGCCATAACGTATATATTATGAATTTGGTGTTGACTTGTGATTTTGTCCTCCCTTGTGGTTGGCTATGTCGTTCCCGAATATTGTTTTGTCTCCGTTGATTTGAGCTTCTGAGAAAGGTTTTGGTTGTCTATTTCGAGAAACATGGTTATTACTTTTTTTATTGCATCCTTTTACTATTATCCATCTATAATCATGTTATTATTATTAGTGTCTTTCTTATTATTTCTATTGCTCATTAACTGTACAGGTTTATATAGTAAGTATCTTATCATAGTATCATCACTAACTCGTCGAGGTTAGGCTCGGTACTTACTGAGTACATTAGGTCAATTGTACAAATACTACACTTTTGCACTTCTTGTGCAGATTCTGGTGCGGGACCTAGCAATGTTCATAGGGGACCATAGCTTGGATTAAAGAGTATAAATAGGGTTTTTAGGTAGTAACTTAAGATAGTGCATTTTAGAGATTTAGACCTCGATTTGAGATCAGATCTCAAAACTAATCACATATTTGGACTTAGGGATGAATGAGTAATCCAAATTCTGTCTTGATTTTAGATTTAGACCAAGTGGGCTCGAGTTAACTTTTTGTTAACTTTTCAAAATATGTTAAAGATCGAACCTTTTTAGTATTAGGAGGATTTCTTAAGCTTATTTTGACTTATTTTAGTATTATTTGACTAGATCCTAGTTGTTTGGAGGCCTGTCCTAAAGGGAAAGCATTATTGAAGAGTTGATTTATTCAGAAAAGAGGTAAGTATCTTGGTTAACCTTGATTTGAGGGAATTAGGTTGTGTTTGGATCTATTTGCTACGTGGCTATATGTGTTAGGGGCGGCGTATATGAATGGTGATAAATGTAATGTGTTTTCCATGGTTAAAACATGCGGGTAGATCTAACCTTTCTCATGCCTTGTTTGGTTCATATATTATTTCTCCTATGTTTTAGATAGTTCATTAACTTACTTGCTTATTCATATACATCCTAGTACTATATTTAAGATTTATTGAGATATTTAGACATTACGGTTCTTGAAATGCCGGTTTATCTATTGGTGCAAAGGTTATGATTATCTCTTACGCGGTGTATTATGCTTGATCACTCTCCTTGATGTTATTTATGCTTTTCACCTTACTTGGTATTGATTTACATATGCTTGGTAAGGATGAGTGTCGGGTGATTCCGTGCTGTGAGGATGAGTGGTTATATAAGACGGGTGTTTTCGTGGTGTAAGGATGAGAGATATTGCACGAAGGTATTTTCGTTTTTCATGCGATGAGGATGAGTGATATATGCACGTCGAGTATTTCCATGATAGGTGATATGATATATTTTACTCATTCCTTTTGTTACGCGGACTTACGGACTCAGCCATGTTATTTCATGGTTATCGTTTTATCCTTTTGGATTTCAGTTGTGGAGACAAGTTTGGATGTTTATCTGAGAAACGTGATTGTTATTTCTTTTGGTTGATCACTTTATTATTCCTTACATTTACTCTTATTATTTATCTTGTTATTCTCTTGTTTGTTCTCTTGCTTATTAACTGCATAGGTTTATAAGTAGGTGTTTTGTTCCTAGCCTCGTCACTACCTTGTCGGGGTTAGGCTCGACACTTACTTAGTACATGAAATCAGTTGTACTTATACTACATTTCTGCACTTCTTGTGAAGATCCCGGGATTGGTCCCAGTAGAGTCCCCAGAGGTGCTTAGCTTGGACATCTAGGTGATTCGAGGTAGTTTTGCATTTCCATCCGCAGGCTCTAAAGTCGCCTTCATTATCTTTATTACTTTTAATTTGTATAAGACAATATTGTATTTTATTTCAGACTTTGTATTTAGTATTCGTTAGAGCTCATGTACTCTGTGACACCAGTCTTGGGGATTTATTTAGACTGTATATTGGTTTAGACTTATTATGTGATTTCAGAGCTTTTACCCTTATTTATGATATTGTGTTGTTAACCGTTTAGTTGTTGTTTCATTGATTATTGTAACTGTGTTGGCTTGCCTAGCAAGTAGGTTATGCGCCATCACGACCCCTTGGTTGGGATTTTGGATCGTGACAAGTTGGTATTAGAGCACTATATTTCATAAGTCTCACGAGTCATGGGCATGTCTAGTGGAGTTTTGTGTATTGGTATGGAGACGTCTATACTTATCTTCGAGAGGCTATGAGACAAATAGGAAACTTCTCTTTCTTTATTCCTCCATCGTGCAATTTTGTTCTATCCTAAAGTTTGAATCTTTACTCTCCATTCTCTCATAGATGGTGAGGACACGTGTGTCAGCCGCAGCAGAGCATGAGCCAGAGCCCCAGGTTGCAGCCATTATCACGAGTAGAGGCCAAGGTAGGGGAAGAGTGAGGGCCTAGCCTAGAGAACGTGCAGCAACACCTATAACTACCCGTGATCGATCTAGAGCAGTATCAGTCGAGCTGCAAATAGCTCTAGATGGTGAGTAGATTCCCGTTTAGGATAAGCCGGTAGGGCTAGCTCAAGTTCCAGAGAGGTTTATTACTATCCTAATGCATCGGGACACCTTAGTCCATATGATTGGCCTTATGGAGAGCGTGGCTCAAGTAGGTGTACTTCCTATGGAACCAGCCATTTTTTAGGCTGGGAGAGGAGCTGAGACTCATGCCATTCACACTCCAGAGCAGATGGTGCAGAGATATCAGATTGCGGGGGGTATTAATAGCCGACATGGTTCAGCTTATTATTGCAGTGCAGGCTTAGGTTAGGCCCGCTATGTTTGATGGCGCTCGAAGATGATAACAAGTTTTAGAAGTTGCACCTGTCTTATTTTAGTGGTTTGCCTTCAGAGGATGACCAGGAGCTCTTAGATTGATGTCATGAGATCTTGCAAAATATGGGACTAGTTGAGTCCAATAGGGTTGACTTTACTGTTTTCCAGATGCAGGGTTCGGCCAAGAGGTGGTGAAGACTTGTGAGATGGGCAGACCAGCAAGGTCACCTCCCCTTACTTGGGCTCAGGTTTCACAACTTTTCTTGAAAAGGTTCATCCTGCTCACTCATAGAGATGATCTGCATAGCCAGTTTGAGCATCACAGTAGTGTGGTATTAAAGTCACCCAGTATGAGACAAGGTTGGTTGATTTGTCTCGTCATGTATCTATCTTGATCCCTACTGCGAGGGGGAAGGTGTGAAGGTTCATAGAGGGGCTTGCTTATGGTGTTAGGCTTCAAATTTCTGTAGAGGCCGAGGCTGAGACCTCATTTACTCAAGTAATAGAGATTGCTAGGAGGATTGAGAGCATTCATGGCCATAGGAGAGAGGTGATGAGTGACAAGAGTCCTCGTCATTTTTGTGGTTTCAGTGGTGCCTCATCTGGAGGTAAGAAACATTTTGATAGAAGTCATACTATCAGACCAGTTGAGTCAACACTCCAGGATTCTCATGGTACTCTAGGAAGCCATGGTACTTATGGTTCATGCCCAGGGAAGTCATCATTTAATGCGCCTCGAGATCCTATCAGTGCGCCTTCGATATAGAGTTTCTATGGTGGTCATTCGGGTCGTCATAGACAACTTCAGGTTCAGCCTCCACATCAGCAGGGGGTTGCTACGACTTTGGGGATTTGAGGCATATAGTGAGGAATTGTCTCAGGTTGCAGAGAGGTGTGTCATAACAGGGTACTCGTGCTATGATTCTGGCACTGGTTGCTTTACCACCCGCCCAATAAACTAGGGGTGGGGGTCAGCTAACTAGATGTGGAGTTCATCCAGGTAGAGATCGTCCCAAAAGAGGAGGATGTGTTGGTGGGGCTCAGCCCCATTATTATGTATTTTCGGGTAGGCTCGAGGTAGAGTTATTTGATGCAGCCATCACAAGTATTATCTTAGTCTGTCATAAAAATACTTTGGTGTTTTTCAATCTGGGTACTATTTATTCATGTGTCTCTTAATATTTTGCATCGCACTTGAGTATGCCTCGTGATTCTCTTGATATTCCTATTTCTATGTCTACACCAGTTGGGGATTCTATAGTAATTGATCGATTGTACTAGTCTAATGTTATTACTATTAATGATTTTGATATCATGGTTTATCTCTTGTTGTTGGATATGATGAATTTTAAGGTTATTCTTGGCATGCATTGGTTTTCTCCGTATTATGCTATCTTGTTTTGTCACGCCAAGACTATGACTTTAGCTATGCCAGGGTTTCCTAAACTAGAGTTGAGAGGGACCCTTGGGTATTCTACTAGTAGGGTGGTTTGTTTTTGAAGGCTCGGCGCATGATTGAGGAGGGATATTTAGCGTATTTGGCTTATATCTGAGATTCTAGTATGGAGTTTCCTTCTATGAACTCAGTACCGGTTGTGAGGGATTTTCTGGAGGTATTTCTGACAGATTTATCAGGCATGCCACCCGATAGGGATATTGATATCTGTATTTACTTGGTTCTGGGCACTTAGCCTATTTTTATTCCACCATGTATGGCTCCTTATCTTGGATCTTGAACCCACTAGAACTATTCTCGAGAGTCACCCACTCCGTTCTAGTCCTAAATACATAGTCAAATATGTTGAACGACTAGTGCTCCATTAGCATATGAATACTCCAAAAAGTAAAAACCTCATCCTTAAGCAACCGAGTGAATCTCGTCCCTTTACACACTGCACCCCACAAGGAACATCAAACATGAATCATTCCACACCTTCCATATATCAACAAGGTCTAATATTTTATGCATCCAACAAATTTCTTGTGCGAATCATCCTTATGTCATCCTCTTTAACTCATAAATAATCCACATTCGTACCTTAGTCCAAAAACTACAACAATACATGACCATATGAACCAATCATCGATGGTAGACTCCCCCACTTAGCTTTAAGCTCCAATCATATCACCCAAGAACCTACAATGAGTTCTCTTCCTTATTTACCATGATCTCGCATTGTTACTCAGCAGAATTTCTCACAAGCTCATGTTGCACTAACCATAACACATCCCAAATTATCCGTCTAAATGCACACTCAACCTTGTGAAAGTCATGTCATCCTCCTCAAGCGATCCAGACTCACACCGTAGAATATATATTCCACTAGATAAAAGGTAAAATCTTTATAGGAACCTCATAAGAAATTATACAGCCTCCAACCTTCTCACATGAGATACCCCCACAGTGAAACCTCATATCAACATCTTGCTATGACCTTGCCATGGGTACAAACACTTCTCAATAAATTAATCCATTCGAGCCCATACTCGTTCAGATGCTATAAGAATCTGCTTCATTCCATCAATGAACAACTGAGTGATCCATCAATACATCCAAAACTCGAGACTATATTTCACACCAAGATGATAATCAAGCATTCATATTCCATTTTATCTCAAGCAAAAGCCCATCTCATCATAATTGAACTCTTGAAATATAAGAATTCATCACCAGAATAAAATATACAAACTTAGTCATTTGTCCACAATGACCAGAATAACATCAAATTTTCTCGAGATTCGTGTCAACTCTACCACACAAAATTCATACTGATACGCTCATGCTTCCCCTCCGGTACAACCATCTTTCCAAGTAACCCACTCGATCTCTGACGCTCATACTTGACCTACGAACAATTCAAACACCGCGAGACATGTCAACCAATGTCCTTCTTCATTATCTACCACCAATAATGCTGCCTCAAACTATGATACATCTCCATAGCACTCGAATGAATAGAATACTGCATACTATGGACCACCTCCTTAGCACCACCTCGCAACATCGTGTCCCTAAGGACAAGAAAGTGAAGATCATCACACTGATGAGCTTTGATGCACTCAAACAAGGACGATCGTGCAACCACAAGCAAAACCTCTACTAGATACAGAGATATCTAATCTCACAAATCTATAATCCAAGGCCTAAACATCCATAGACAAATGCCTCCCTTCCCCTGGAATAAATGCCAAACTATCCTTACTCTTTATTGCCTCAAATTCAAATCTTACTGCCTGAACAATTGCTAAAGACTTCGATGGTCAGTATAAACCTTTCATGACACTCCATACGAATAATGCCTCCAAGTCTTAAGTACATGCACAATAAATGCCAACTCCAATCGCGAACCGGACAATCATTCTTAGGGAGCTTCAGTTGTCGTGACACGTAAGCAATTACCCTACAATTCTACACCAACACTACACCAAAATCGGCGCGTGAAACATCACAACACACTGTATATGACCCTAAACCTATGGGAAACACCTACATCGGGGGTTGCTATAGATGGAAAACCCCTTCATAAAGAGACTATAGTAGTATGCCCTCATAACACAGGGGGAAATCAACCCACACCATATTTGCAACAAAATCACTGCTCGCCGGTGCCCAACCGATATCGAGTACTCGATATCTCATACGGATGAATAAAAAGGAACTTAAGATATATGCTTCAAGTCAAAATAAAGTCGCATGATAAGGAATCAAGACATGGAAAGTTCCTAAAGTCTTATAGCCTCTCGCAGATAGATACTGACGTCTCTATATCAATCCACAAGACTCTATCAGGCTTGTATGTAATTATTGAGGCCCTTAGAACTGGCTCTGATACCAATTTATCATGACCCAAAATCTCACCAAACGATCGTGATAGAACCTAACCGACTTGCTAGGCAAACCAACACTTAATATTAACAATATAATCTATTTATTAAGCCATTAACTATTTTATGATATAAATAACAATGTGGAATGAATTTTCAAATCAATATCATAAGTACAAAATCAAAGACAGTGTCTATGCTTGACCAAAACTGTTTAACAATGCCCAAAAGTTGATTTCAGTACATCAGGAGCATCTAATGAGAGCAACTAGAATCAATTGAACAAATACATCCGTCTACAAAAAAAGTACCTAAACAGAAATAGAAAGGTAGGGAAGGGGACTCCAAGTGCTGTGGATCGGATCAAGTAA